AGTCATTAAATCTTATTAAGATCTTAAACGATAAGATCGTAGATTATCTTATCAAAATCTTAAAGGATAAGATCTTATAAGATCTTAGTAAGATAATGTTAAGAAGTGTCTAAGATTTTTACTAGGGCTGCAAGAGTAAAAAAAGTCAAAGCCAAATGTATCACCGGTGATGCATTGACAGCCAACGTGTTAATATATGAATAAAACTAATCGTCAAGAAGAAGGACTCGTTCTAGTAACGAGTGATATAAAACAGTAAAACTTTTAGTCTCAACAAACTACGTGTAGTTAAAGGAATGAAAAGGAAAACACCGAATCAATTCCATTTCTTGTTCTCCTGGCGTAATTATCCTGATAAAGACTACTTTTCCTTGATATTTCCTAACAGGACCCGTCTCTCTCTTCTCTCTTGTTTATCTGAGAATACATAACGTTCAAGTGATAAAGTTCTAACTAGACAAACATATTAACAATAGTCAAGAATTAAACTTCAGGACTAATAGTTGAAATTTTCTGAAAAGTTAAAAGAAGAGGAGAAAAATAAATTAGAATAAAATTTCTTTCTCAAAATTATAGATTGTATGACATTCAATAGATACAGTACCTATTTAAAACAAATTTATGTCAAGACAAATTTAGCTTGTTTTTCTGTTTTTTAATAAGTTGTACAAATGTACAGTCAGAAAGGTATTTTTATTTTCACTTAAAAACATAAGCAAAGAAAAGATCTACAAAAATCTTGAATTGATAAAATAAACAGAAATATATTTCCATTTTTAGATTAAAATTAGTTGACATAATTGACAATTAATATTATTCTATTCATATTATTATTAAATGAGAGAATATATCAATAAAAGTATATATCTATGTAAGATTGAATTGATTAATTAATTATATCCCGTTAATATCAATGTTACTTTTCATTACTCTTGTCACATAATATCATTGAAGGGAACCAAAAACAACAACATCATATTTACCTGAAATAATTTATACTGTAATACGCAATACTTTTTTAATCATGCGAAACGTTCATTATTCTGTTTGACTACTTCATTAAAGGAAGAACAGTTATAAAAATAGAACACAAAATATTTTTAGTTGGAACTTATTTTATCTTTAATTTAACATTATACATTGTTCAAAATGACGATGGACGGTACTTCAACAATAATTAATAATGCAACATAGAGTATAAAGTTTGATACTGGTGATGATGCATGGATGATGACATCGACAGTTCTTGTATTATTAATGACACCTGCTCTCGCATTCTTTTATGGTGGTATGGTACATCGAAAGAATATTTTAAATCAATTGTTTTTATCTATTATATGTATGGGTATTGTAATCGTTCAATGGATATTATTTGGTTTTTCATTTGCATTCGGACCACCTGTTAGCGAAGGCTTTGGCTCTTTTAGATGGGCGGTATTGAGATTTGGAGAAGGGTTTAATCCAAAATATTCACCAACTTATCCGTTATTAACCTACTGTGCATATGAATGTAAGTATTGTATCATCTAGTTAAAGAAATTCAATAAATTACTTGTAATATTTTTCATTTTAGGTACATTCGCCATTATTACACCTGCACTTATCAGCGGTAATTGTGGATGAACAAGAATAAAAACATTTTGTGTAAGTGTATGTCTCATCCTTCTAGGTAGTATTGTTGGTCGAATGAAATTAGTCCCGTATATGATATTTATCTTTCTTTGGACGACAATCTGTTATGATCCATTAGCTCATTGGGTATGGTCCTCGAATGGTTGGCTAAAATCTTTAGGCACACTCGACTTTGCTGGTGGCACAGTCGTACACATATCAAGCGGTGTTTCGGGACTTGTGGCATCAGCTATTCTGGGTCATCGTGTCGATTATGATTCACATGAACCTGCGCATAATTTGCCATTTACAATATTGGGTGCAAGTCTATTGTGGGTAGGATGGATGGGATTCAATGCTGGTTCGGCAAATGCAGCAAAGTAACGATTTTTTTATTAAAAGTAGTTTTTGAGAAGAACAGTTTTTTTTTCCAGCGGAATCGCTGCTTTGGCTCTCATTAATACGAATACTGCTGCAGCATCGGCTCTCATGACATGGGTTATTCTTGATGCTATTCATGGATCAGTGACAATTAGCGGCGCCTGTATTGGTCCTGTAGTTGGTCTCGTAGCAATCACTCCTGCTTGTGGTTATGTACAACCCGGCTGGGCCCTTCTCATTGGAATCATTGGATCTCTACGTGTCTATTTTGCATATCAATTCAGAAAATATATGAGAATCGATGATGCATTGGATGTCGCTATTTGTCATGGCCTGGGTGGAACGGTAGGAGCATTCTGTACGGGACTGTTTTCTCAGAGGGATATGAATCCCGATGGTGGAGTAAATGGTGCGTTTTATGGACGCCCAATTCAATTATGGTATCAGATTGCTGGAATACTAACTGCCGTCGGTTAGTTGATACATTCAATAAGTCTTCATTTAATGGCTTTTGTTTTTTAGCTTTTGCAGCTGCGTGTACAACAGGTATTTTATTACCGATGAAACTCCTGTACAATATTCGGGTTGCTCCAGAAGATGAGATAGCTGGTTTAGACAAAGCAGGTATAGATTTTTTATTTTTTATCTTCTTTTTTTATATTTTCACAAACAAAATGTACTTGATTGTTGTTGTTTTTTTTGTAGCTCATGGTGAAAGTTGGGAAGCATTTGCTTCGTTGGCTGCGAAAAGTCTGATGAACAAAATAAAGGAAGACGGTGCATCACCCGATGGTACATTTGAGATGCAATATCAACCAAGGAATTCGGCCGCGAAAGCGGTTACAGTTAAACTAACAGTGATGAGCGCATTACCACGTTTTACACCTGTACTGAAAGTGCCCGAAGGTTGGTCAGCTGAAAAGCTAAGAATGCCTGAAACAAAAGATGATGAGAAAGGCCATCATTCGACTATCGAACTAGAACTCTAAATACTGAAATCCTAAATATAGAAGTAGAATTAAAGACTATGATGTATATACATAGCATAGTTCTGTCAAGAAAAGCCTTTAGCAGAAATAATATCTTTACTGCACCTGAACTTCAAGTCCAAATCTCAGAACTCTTGCATCAGTATAGTACCCTATATTTATATATTCACATCCGAAAATGCTTTTACAAGTAAATATTAATTGTCTCACAAATTAACGATGTATTATTAAATTTTTAATTGAACGTATAGAATGAAATTCATTTCTCTTGTGTACCAATTATTGTATTATTGTGTGTGTTTCTGTGTATAGTGCTAAAGTGGGTTTCTTTTAACCCTTTGTGCTCAGATTTTTCTTTTTAATAAAGCTTTAAACGAATTATTGTATTATTACTGATTTGCAATGAGTATTTGTTGACTGTGTGTACAGTGACCGATCCTTTCACAAAAATATTACATATATCACCAAGTTCGATTCGGCTATAAACAAAATCAGTTGTTTTGCTGTTCTTAGACTAAAAGAGACGCTGGAACCGAGATTACAATACGACAATTGCAGGTCAGGATTTCAGGTGAATACTGCATAAATCAATATTTTTGTAGTATGTTGTTGCAAAACGTGAAAATGTATCACAGTACCGTTTACTGCTAAAGAAATATAGTTATCCTGATAACATCATCTACAGTAGTTATTGTTAAGACTATGTATCAGCTCCTCATGGTTTTAATAAAATACAGCTGAAACTTTAATTCTGCATATTCACTTGAATCTGGAAAAAGATGTTTGCGACAAGTATTGATGGAGACTCATGCAGGCAAAAAAAACGTCTGTCTGAGTCTCTTGGAAAATGAGACTTCGAGCCCTTGAAATAAGTTTGTGAGCGCCTCAAAATCTTATTTTCGTTCGATTCCTCAGAAAACTTTGGATACTCGGCAGCAGGATTTACAGAACGGATGTATGGCGAGTTCATCGTTCGTCCATAGCCGCATCCATTCTCACGCTACTGTCGAGTACTCAAAATCTCATTTTTCGAGAAGCTCAGAGACATTATCTCAATTTCTCGAAAGTCTGGTGAAACCGTCATCGGTTTGTTATCATTCTCAATACCGATTACAAGGCTTTCAAATACATTTTTGCGCGTTAATAAATGTTGGGTGGTTTCTACAAAAGTGTGCTTTTTGTGAAGGATATTTTAAAAATTCTCGTCTATGATTCACTTATAAATGTATTCAGGCGTCGTTTTCGTAGTTCCCGAGTATCTAGGTATGCACCGGTTAACTGTACTTGTAAAACTGTAAAACTGCTGATAACTGTAACTATGAAAACTGTAACTGATCATAACTATAGGCAAATATTCTAGAGTGAATTAGTCTTCTACGATTTGCATACATTTGAAGAATGTCTCTGCTCTTAGAATATATGCAAATCGTAGAAGACTAACTCACTCTAGAATATTTGCCTACAGTTATGACAGCTACAGTTACACAGTTTTAATAGTTACGCTTCTGCAGTTTTACGGATAACTGTAACTGATGCATACCTACGAGTATCCAAGTTTAAATGATATTAAGTTGTCAAAATAGTGTTAATAATTCTTCGTTAAGTCATATTTTATCTCGACATGTTAATTTAACTGTTTTACCTGGTATATCATTTGGCAAAGTCAAATGCACTACCTCCATATATTCATTGAAAACACTAAAGTTTAATTTAGAGAAAATTTGCTTCAGTTTGAGTTTTTAAAATTTCATTCTTAAAAACAACGTTGGTTTTGCTGCAGACAGTACGATATAAACAGGAGAAAATAGCGATAGAAGGATTTTTTTCAACATAATAGTTTCAACATAATAGCTTCTCATAAACTTAAGATAAAAAAGATATTTATTTGAAGTATGTTGAAACAGAAAAAGCAAATGCACATCAACCTTCAACGAACAGGTTCCAAATCGAAAAAATTTTCTTCAATTTTTTTTTTATTCTCATACGCAATATATATATATATCATTTTTTCTTTTTGATTTATCTTTTTCTTATGCAAAAATGAATTTTACTCGAAATTTTTATAAAAAAATATATTTTGAACTAATTTTTAAAACAATGTACTTAAATTCATTCTGGGCAACTTTTTATTCAAATAATCCATTTAAATTCATGTCTTTTCTAATAAATCTCATCTCAGTTTTTTGCAAAAATCAACTTAAATATATTTTGTTTCTATTTTGAAAACAAAAATAAATTTAAATTTTTATCGTTTGTAAAAACTAAGATAAGATTTATTAAGAAAGACATGAATTTAAATGGATTGTTTGAACAAAAAGTTATCCAATTATTGTTAAAGATTTTTTCTTCTTTTCTCTTTTTTCTTTTCTATTGCTAACTTGTTTTATGCACTTGTACAACATATTGTAATAGCCTTAGGGTCGATTGCCTCATGTCTTATTAGTTATTTTATTAATAAAAGTTTAACTTAAGTTGCCTAGAAGGGATTTAAATACATTATTTTAAAAATTAGTTTAGAAAGATTTATTGCAGAAAATGAAATCGAAGAGATTCCTGTGTCACACATGTATTTCGAACTGTGAATATACATTTAAGTAGATTTTATAAAAAACAATTCTGTTTCATATTTTCCATTTATTATTTTCAAAAGAAACAAATCTGATGAACAGAATTTTATTTTAAAAGTTTCATTTGATTAAAGTTATCGTGTAAACTTTTTTTTTGCAAATGTTTTTGGAAGTGTTTTACTAATCTTTCTCTTCGTACATTTTTTGAAAATTCAGAAATCTATTCTTATTACGAAGAAAAAACATTTTTTTTAATTTTTATTCATCTGATCAAAGACCGTAATTAATATACATAATATACAACAACATAATTTAATTTAATTAATTAACAATAAACAGAATTTTTAAAGAGAATAGCACATGTGCGTCTATTATATTTCATACTAATATTGAAAAAATGCAAATTTTTCTCTCTTCATTTGTGTTAGAAGTTGAATCGATCGGACTCGAAATACAAAAACTTAAGTTCGAGTCAGAATCTTTCAAAAAAGCTCCAGTCCAAGTCCGATTCTACCAAAAAATCTTCCAGTCCGGACTCGCCCAGTTCTGATGCCAGCCGTTTATGCGACGGGTAGACCATCCATCGGATCAATCACTTAAGCGACTAATGAAATTATTGTTTTTTCGACCAGGATAAACAACCAAAAAATCATTCTCCCTTTCTCAGAAATTAAATTTTTTTCAATAATTTCGAGATAATCTCACAAGACATTACTAGAAAAATCTGATTTTTGCGAACTAAACAACGAATGTGATTGTTGTAAAAATCTCAATCATTTTTGGACGTGAAAGTTTGAAAAAAATTGAAGTATTCGGATAGAATAGAAATGGACATTAATTGACTTAATTTTTGATCGTGATTCCGAATATGATATTTCTATTGCATAAAAAATGAGTTCTGATAGAGAAAACTGAGAATTATGAGCAGAATTACGACTTTTTCGCCTCTGATTTAGAAAAAATGAACTTTTTCAGCAACAGAAGAAAATTTTAAAAAAAGCAAAGCATACTTTTAAAGTTGAGCTTTCAGCAAACTTAATGATGTGCAAATAACGGCTTCAACCATTAACTAGATTGGTTTATAAAATTGCATGTCCGCACTTTTGAGGACTAGTTTGGGACATTCATGCTGGACAGGCTTTTAACTTCGAAATTGATCAAACACTATTTTTCTATTCAGTTTTTAGCGTTGAATCCAAAAAAAATTATTTGAAGGTTTAAAAACAATCTAGAGCCGAGATATTAAAGTACCCGAAGGATTTTTCGAGTTTTCGACATGAAAAAAATATTTTGAAAAATTAAAAAATACATTTTCTTAATCAGCTCGATGAACCCTATCCAACGATGTATGATAAATTAAGAAAAAATTTTTACTTTAATTTACCATTGTATACACCTTGCTTTCCAACTTTCAACTTAAGTTTTTCGCTTGATGTTCCAATTTTATTATTTAGAATTTTTTAGTTTGCGGTAAATTTTGCAAGTTCTCTTACACAATAATTTGCAAATTCTGCATCCTGTGGAACAAAAGCTTTTTAGAAAAAAAATGAACACTAGGTGTGGGTAATTCGAAATTTGAGCAGAATTTATTTTTCATTTATTTGTAGATGGCTGAATAGAGCCTGATGTTTTTTTCCTGTCTGGTCACTTTTCTTTTTTTTCAAATTTTCATATTGACAAATCATTGAGATTTGCACCAAAAATGAAACACTGAAAAATTTTGAAATATACTTCATTCGACTCAGTTTTTGACGCTGATTCTGAGTACCCTACATAAACTTAAAATTCTCTTTAACAGATGTGTAGTTCTGACTGCTCTCTTCTTCTTATCTCTTTTTATGCCAGTGGTTCGTTTTTTTATACGGCTGGTGATGTGCATAGATTATCTAGGACGTCTGTTAGCAGAATAGTGTTTCAAATATCATCGATTTTGTCTGAAAAAGCTATCCAAAGTATTAAATTTCCAACAGCAGTAGAAGAAGAGAATTTGATAAAATAAACATTTTCTCAATGAACAAAATTTCCTCGAGCGATTGATGTGATGACCGCACTCACATTATGATTAAACTCGAGTGAAAACAAGAATACAGGAATAAGATTAAGCACATACCTTTATTTTCACTCGGAGCTTTAGCCATAATGTGTGTGCAATCAATAACACCGATCACTCGACGAAATTTTGTTCATTGAGAAAATGTTTACTTTATCAAACTCTCTTCTTCTACTGCTGTTAGAAATTTGCACATTACCATCTGTATAACAGAACGAACCACTCGCATAAAAACCTAACGCTGTTAAAAATTGAATAACTGGAGGTATTGTATGATTATGACAGGTTGGATGATGAAGATGATGTTCAATTCTGTTTAATAAATCTACCAATGCTTGTTTTGGAAATTGATAACGGGCTTAAAATTGATTTTCTGTCATATATTGCAGCGGATTTGAATAATCGAAATAAATACGTTCTCGTCTCAATGCTTTTGCTGCCAATATAGCAACTAAAGCCATTTTATAAACTTTTTTTCGTTTAAATTTGTTTGACGCAGCCAAACACAACAAAATATATACAGTTTTTTTAACTTTAGGATGCTTTATAGTTCACTTAAGTTAAGTGAAAACTTGAGTGGGAAAATTGAGTTAAGTTTTCTTAAGAAATACATCTGACTTAAGTCAGATTTTCTAATTAAGTTTTTTTAAAAAACTAGCCCCTAATTTTCCGTACACTCCACTTCTGGCTGCTCGATTGCAAAGCCAATGGAAGAAAGCATAGAATCCTTCATAACCGATATACATAATGTGTAATTTTTTACCTAATTCACAATGATCGATTCATTTCTGATAAGACTAAAATCTTTTACAAGCGCAACTTTAAGTTCTTATACCAGTAACCTCACAGATGGCGCTATACTGAAAATAGCCAATCAAAGAAGTCAAAGAGAGTTATGTCAAACAGTAATTTTTTTTCTTTAATGATTCTTGACAATCTAATCGATTATTTAAACGTGGATTGAGTATACTTATAGTCTTAAGCGTTCTTTATACTGTAAGCACCTCCTGACGTGAACGTGAGAAATTCCAGGTCATTTTTTTTTATTGTCTATCGATTCGCGGTCGTTAAACGGCTGATACTTCTTATTATCCTTGATTGATGAATATCAAGTCCCATATTAAAGAGAAATCTTAAAAATTGTCTCTGTTTATAGTACAGATTCGGAATTTGCCAGAACTTTCGCGATCAAGCTTTTTTTTATTTTTTACAGATTTTATTTCGTTGCAGCAGTTGTATGGCTTCAATTTTTATAGATTTCTATACATCATTTTTTTTTACAGATACCGCTCGCATCTATGAATAGATTCTGTACCCGTGTGGTTTAAATATCATTTCTCTGTTCCAGCTTCTTCTAACGTTGCTCTCCGTTTTGTATTGCTGCATTATTTAGCGAAGTTTATCAATAACATTCAAAATTCAAGTTTTTTAATTAACCGGGAACAGAATATGGAAATCACAGAATCATTATCTCATCGAAAGGATAGAATAATATCTTTTGCGAAAGTTAAGTTGAAAGCTGATTTTGTCGCTTATTTTTTCATGCAGTATTGACGAATTCAGTTAGAAAAAGTTAAACTTTCAATTTATTGATAGTCATTCTAACATTTATTTATTCTTTCATTTAGCATTCTGAAATATTCTATTATTTCTGAAGTATTACCGTCTTAATGTTACTGAGTTTAGTTCTTATAACTGACCATACTCTTTTTTTTTAGTTTCTCTTATATGTGCGTGAGTTTGTGTAAAACAACAGTCGGATTTTTATTATTTTATGTGGATAATTTTTTAACAAGTATTTTTTCAAATCCGTCAGATTGTTTTTATCGAACGAAGTTATTCTTTGTATATTTTACAGTTATCGCGCATGAAAGAAAAAAAACATTTTGTTAGGACAAAGAGAAAAAAAAAGTTTATTTGAAAATCAGTCAGTTTGAATACACTCAACCCAACTCAGCAGAATCAGAACACATATAAGCATAAATTTGGGTCTTTTTTTTTGTCCATTCTGTTCTTTAAAATGGAATAAAAAAAAAATTTATATGTGTATTTCTGCATGACATATTTTTCTTTTTTTCACTTGTTATATATCATAATAAAAAAAAAAGAGAAAGAAAACCTTTTCGTTATAGATGTGAATAAAACCACACCGTATAAAATATTTATTTTATTATCGCTCTTCTACTTTTCTTCTTATTGTTGAGTAGTAATATGATCTTTTAAGATAGAGGATCATAAAAAAGAAAGTTTAAAAAATGTTTTTGTGATTTTTCTTTTTTTTTTAGATCTGATTGTTTGTTTGTTGTTTGTGTTTGTATACTTTCTTCAGCATCTGAACAGTAGTAGAAAGCGACAAAAAAAATGACTTCAGCGGATGATAGCTTAACGTGTGGTGATAAATTAAGAAGCTTAGGACAGTTTATTTATAATCATGAACGAAAAGAAGTACTTGGACGAGATGGGGAACGATGGGGTATGTATATGGTCATTTATTAGCGATAAAAGAAGTAGATTTTGTGTTTTATTTTGGTGAATTTCTCACTAATCTTGGATTTTGATAAATGTTTAAAAGAAAAACCATTATATAACTCTTTATTTTTAACTAAAATAATTTTTATTTTTATTTATTTTAGGAAAAGTGGCCGTATTTTATTTTTTCTTCTACGTCGGTTTAGCTGGTTTCTTCTGTGCTATGTTAGCTGTATTTATGGCAGTGAGTCCAAAAGATCACCCAAGATATTATACAACGTCCTCAAGGATGCAAACACGATCTAATCCAGTATCGCCAGGTAAATGTCTAATTGATCTCAAAGTTGAAAGGTCTAGAAAAAGACTATTTCTTAGATACTCTTATCTAGAAAGTAAATTGTTCAATAGAGAGCAGATTAAGTAATTAGGGTCAAAATGAGTATAATAGAAAATACTTATTCACTTGTTTTTGAAACAAGGAAGAAGAGAATGTCAGACTGTTTGTGATAGACATAAGTCTGTTTTATTTTTACAGACAAATTCTTGCCTGTTTTTTAGGACTTGGCTTTCGTCCACAACCATATACGGACAATTATTTAATTGGTATTGATTTAAAGGATACAGAAATCAACTCTAAATGGAACCCACAATTGTATACGAAAAGTTTAAAGCAGTATTTAACCGTTAGTAAGTACAAACACTTGCTATTTACTAAAAAGCAGAACAAAGTGGAACTAATTTAGTCGTTTGAAAGACTAATGAAGAACATCTTTTGATTTTTGAAATTATTCTGGAAGGATTTTTAGTATTTTCTCTTTGCCGAATCTTTAGCGTAACTAGACATATAGATCAACGACTGTCTTTGATGTTGTTGTCTATTGCTGAATTTCTCTCTCCTTAGCTCATAGTCAAAATAGAAATAAAACGAAAAATAATGCAATGAGTGGATATCAAAGTCATGAAGGTTATAGTACTCCATTCAATATTGATACGCCAGGTGATTGCACGCCAGAAAAGAATTATGGCTATAATGACGGTAAACCATGCGTTCTTGTTAAAATGAATAAAGTAAGTTTTACTCTCAGAAACTAAAATATCAAGAACATAATATAACTCTTGGCTTATAGATCGTCAATTGGATACCAGAAGTTGGTCGAACAAACGAAGATAATAAAGAGGGCAAAGATCCTTGTCCGGGTCCGGCAGAGGGTATACAAATAAATTGTCATGGAGAAGTAAGTACGAAACAGATGATATCGACATAACAGTGAACTGACAATATTTAGCTTGTCTTTTTTGCTGCATTATTTAATGTCAATGGAATAGTAGCTTTATGAAGTTTCCATTCATCAATGCGTTTTCACAAGGGAAAAAAAAGCAGACTTAAGTCCCACTTATAGATTTTCAAAATCTATCTATATCTACACAAGTTCCTAGAAGTTCAGAAATTTATGGGAACTTTTATGTGCCTAAGTAGACTTACGCAAACTTTTAGAGACTTAGGTGGATTTAGATGGACTTTTGCGGCCTCCGAAAACTGCATCAGATTTGTAAAGTCCAATGGACTTTTGTCTTCTGAGTCCATTAAAATTCATAAAAGTCCAAAGTCTATCTTTTCTCCCTTGAATTTCCATTACTATGCAAAAGAAATGATCACATCAAAAACCAAAAAGTTAATGTAGTCCGAATTGTATGATTGTGTATTCGACTATTTTATGCTATATATTTGTTTAGTATCCTGCTGATCAAGATAGTATCGGAAATTTAACTTATCATAGTGAAGGTGATAAAGAGGGCAACAGTAATTGTGGAACAATTAGAATAAGCCAACGATTTCCATATCGGTACGTATGAGTTTACAACCTGTTCTCATTCTTAGTTTAACTTAAATCCATTTGTTTATTTCTATTTATAGTGGTAAATCCAATCGTCTTGATATCTATCACCAACCTTACATATGGGTTCAGTTTTTGACGCCTAAACCCAATGTATTGATTAATGTTTTATGTCGTGCATATGGTGCAAACATTTATTATGATAAAAAACAACTTCGTGGTTTAACACGTTTTCAGATCTATATAAAAACCTTAAGTACAGATAAAACGAGTCTTTGAAAAACACAAACGATTAGAATGAACATGAACAGTGTTTAGGAGAATGAATACTATTTTATACACCATATCTGCTCGTACTTATTTTTTATAGTTGGATCTCGTATTTATAAACGCACCTGTCTTGTCTTGTCATTTTTAGCATTAAGTAATATTTTTTTTCTAAACTAATTTTCCTTTAAACTTTTAGAGAGTACTTTTTCTTCTCTTGTAGTGTTTTTTGTGCATCTTTTCTTTTAAAATATATTTCATGTGTCGAATACTCAGTGGTTTTTTTTTCTTGCGAAAAACAGTATTTCTGCAATGATCTGTGCGTGCATTGTGCATATTTTTTTGCTCGTATTTTTACGCATATATTTGTACTTGTTCTTCTACTTGCCTGCCTATTCTTCCTGCTTATTCTTCTAGTACTCTTACTACTTATTTTCTATGTTGTGTTTGTGTGGTTAGAATAATAGATATGAGAATGTATTTTTTTTTTCTTGAAACGATGATCTAATAAAAACAGATACTCATTCTTAAATGAAATTAATCCCACAGAGAATGACAACGAATGGAATATGTTGAAAGCCGCCTGTTATTTCAAGAACGTATAGGTAGGGAGTAATATCATTTACTCAGAAAAACAACTTTTCAATCATTTTTTGCCTTAGACACGTTATTCGGTTATATTTGTCAGATTGGGTATTTTACATTTATTTACCATTGATTGTACATAAAATCGTTAAAATTTCATGATATTATGATATAATGAACGTGTGATTATTGTTTGTTCTATGAATTAGGAGAGATAAATTTTAGCAAAAATCCAAAATTTTTTCGTTAGTTTCGAAAAAAAGAGCAAATTGCAATGCATTTTCTTTTTGTAAACCGGAAAAAGTAGTAAGAAAAATTAGAACAGAAACATATTCATCATTATCAACTTTCTCTTGGTTATTTTCTAGAAAAATAAGTTATCGACATTGTAAGCTTTTATCATGATCGATATCAAGTAATTTATTCTCACTCGTTCCACTGTATATATCTTATCTAACGGTGTTTACACTATCTCTCAAAAAAACTTTTTTTTTCATTTCAAAAATGACAGTTTACTGATAAAATCAACTACGACCAAGAAAAATAAGAAATAAAATAGATGTCTATTGTTTTACTATTTTTATTTGCGTTTTTTCTGATTTCTTTTTTTTTCTAGTATATTCGTACGAAATATATGATTTAATGGTTTTTTCTACATTATTTATTTATCCATTCTTTTTTTCAACCTATTTTTGTTATAAATACAACTGAAATGAGATAAACTTTTTGTTCTAAAGTAATAAAAAGTAGAGATAGAATTTAATTAACTTTAATCTACTCTCTTAAAATTTAAATCTCTGTACGTGTATTTTTCATTGCTTTTCAGCGGTTTTGCCGTAGTAGCACCACTTCTACTTGTAATCATTCACTATCAGCTGATGTGAAGTTTTTTATGTAAAAGTTGATTACAATAAAAGTGAACTCAGAAATAAACTATAAAAAAGTATTTGTTTACTCTATTCTTTTGATAATATATCGCTTCTGATAACAGAAATTAGTATTTGAATCGATTTCTAAATAAATTAATAATTCTTCGAATTTTACTATCATTATTAACTTATTGCATTAGAGAACAATATTTAAGATTTTAATACTTTTGATCTATTCAAAGGGTAGGTATAGTTAAAGAGCAATATTCTCATAAAATACAAAGAAAGAGGCACCAAGCGCATGATGTTAGATTAAATCACGGAATTTGAATGTCAACGAAACAAGATCAGTTCATATCTTTACTGTTTTTCAATTTATGACAATACATCATGTTTTAATATATTTATTAGTATGCTCAACGAGCTACAAAATAACAAGAATTATTGGAATAAGAAGTTTTTTTTCTGCAATAAACTTACTTTTCCATAGGCTGTTTCTGCTGAATATATTGTTTGATCATATTCTTGCTTAACTCGCCGATGAAAAACAATATTCAAACCGATTCTGTCCATCGTGTGAACCGGCAGTCAGGGCCAATCTACCGTCTCCTCAGTGTTTCCGGAGGTTAGTGGCGAGAAGTGTCAAAACTAAGTATGAATTAATCGGCATTAGTCAACAACAATAACAAATTACTTCAAGTCTTAATGATGTAGTGGAAAAAACAGAACGGGAAAAAAGAAAAATATCGTCGTAAAGAATATCTCTCCGATGTAGGAAACACCCGATAAAGACACTTTCATTAAATTTATTGACGATCTGTTCGGAATCATAATTCCTCCGGAAGCGATTGATGGTGTGTGGCGATTTAGAACGTCATCCGCATCAAATAATAATCGTCCACTGATTATTGGTGTATCGTTTAACGATCTGTCCGTTCGTTCGTCTATTTTATCCAAAGCCATTGTTCTCAAAAATTCGTCAGATGATTCTGTCAAGAATGTTTACATCGATAAACACTTGACCAAACAACAATCTCAATCGGCTTTTTAGAAACGTCAACAACGAAAAATTCAACAACAGTCCGACAATGATAATATTCGCTTATCGGCACTATGTAATAATCATCTTTGCCATTAAGTTGATTTAAATTGATATTATAAGTGAAATGACAGACAAGACGTAGAGTATTTTGGATTTTAGGATGAAAAATTCCTCCAGTTACTTCTCCTTCGATCGTTCTGATTGGAATGGCCAAGCATATCATTCCTCATACGACTTCGTCTGAGGCTATTTTGTTTCCGGTAACGGACAGCGAAACGGGGAAATGAATTTGATTACGGTGGCGCTCTTTTCTCTCTTGATAGATAGATAGATTTATTTTACACAAAGGTAGGATATCACGAAAAAGTATCAAAAAGACTTGTGGCATCCGGAGACACCTCATGATAACCTAAACTAAAAAGTTTCTAAAAAGAATCGCTACTATATGACATACATTGTAAGAGAAAACATAAGTGTGTTACATTTAAAGAGAAAGAGTAATAAACATAAAAATTATTGAAAGCCTACATGATCTCTTAACATACATACGCTTAAATACAGATAAAGGAGACTGACATGCTAAAACCGAAGGAAGTTCATTCCATTCCTTTGAGTCACGTGGAACGAAAGAGACCGGATGCAGATTTTAGCTTGAGACGAGGAATAAAAACGCTATTATTATGACCTAATCAAGAACTTTGCCACGTAGATAGTGGTGAGATCAAATCTAAAGAGGAGCAAGGACTTTTATTACAGAATATTTTATGAAAATATAGAAGACGATAGTAAAGACGTCTATTAGAAAGTGGTTGAATTCTAAATTTTTTGAGCAAATAAGAAGAGGAACTATTCAAGTCTTGTGAGATAATTCTACTAGCAAGACGCTAATTTTGTTCAGAATATTAAGGTGAGCGGTAAAGGTTGAATCATAGATCAGAGACCAAAGCGGGTCGGGTTCGGGTTGAGGTAAAAAATATTGATTCGGGTCGGGTCAAAGGAAAAAAAATTTTCGGGTTTTACGGGTCTTGCCACTTGAAAATAAATCAGGGAATTTTCGGGTTTTACGGGTCTTGCCACTTGAAAATAAATCAGGGAATTTTCGGGTTTTACGGGTCTTGCCACTTGAAAATAAATCAGGGAATTTTCTTGGGTTACGGTTCACTCATCTATTTTTCAACATGTACCTTTTTTATCGGAAAAACAAGTAAAGTTTTTTTCTAATTTTCGGGTCACTCGGGTCAAGTTTCGAAAATTTCGTACCACTTCGGGTTGGGTCAGGTAAAATGGTACGTAGTCAGACAGATAAGTGTATCCGCTTTAATGTCACCAATGCACCCAAATATCAGACAAGTGATCCTCAAATTCACTGGATAAAAGTTTTAAGTTTAAACAGACCATAAATAATATTTCATTTCCTCATATTTGTTTCTTCTGGCCAAGCACCGTTACCGAGATATTCGCTGAGGGCACCTGTCTAGTGGTGCCCTCAGCGAATATCTCAGTAACGGACCCGATTCGGTCTCTGTCATAGATAACACAAGTATATTCGAGCACTGATCGATCAATACCCATTGCCCCCCTAGACAGGGGCTTTTCCTTTCCTTTTTTCTTTTTTCTAGGGATCACCGCCACCGCGCCAAGCGCATCTCAACCAGTGAGAAACCAAGTCGTCAGCAGCATTATCCAATAATAGTGACTTTCAGCTTTCGAACAAAAAATATAACAAACAGGAAAACTTGCACAGGGCTATAATTCTTCTTCGTGCTTATCGTGAATGACGACAGAAGTTTTAAAACAATTTTACTTTTCTTTGTCGCTAGATATATTTAGTGCTAAGCTTTCAGAAAACTAACTGTCATCAGTGACATCTTCAAAACTATCCCATGAGGTTTTCTTTCGTTTGAAACGGTGTCCAAACGTGTGTAAACGACAAAATAATAGAAACGCATTCAGTCAATGGTTGAAATGCGTTTTTTAGCCGTTTAAAAGATATACGAAATGCGTTTCTATTATTTCGTCGCTTACACGCGTTTGGACACCGTTTCAAACGGAAAAATCTCACATGGGTATCCATCTAAGCTAGGGTATCCTATCCAGCTGGGGTATGGATATCCATCTGAGCTAGTTTTCGATAAATTCTGACCCGACAACGGTATAGTAGCGATTATATTAGCGACCCTATATACTATAAACAACCAGTTCAATCGTTCTCACAAATATCTTCTTCTCTTTAATTCAACAGTTTTCTCATAAAATTACTAATTAATCAGGTCTCGTTTTTGTTCTTTTTCTAATTCAAAATAAGCTTTAACAACAATAATGAGTGCGACAATATTCGCTACAAGTGAGCAATTCATTATCATTTATGGGTCATCCTGATCCTTTCTCTATTCGATGCGACTGCTATTCACTTTGGACAAAAAAAAATTGAAGGCTAGTAGAAAATAAGCATAAGAACAACATACAAAATACGTGGCGAAGCTGAGTTGTTATGTTTTGCAGTATCCATTAAATGAGACAATTTTTTTCATTATATTAACGATAAAGAACCATGATATTTGAAAGATTCTATCAACACTATTGATTTAATTGAAAAATTATTAAAAAACTCTCGATTGAAATTGTTCAAAATATGATTAAATTCAACTTAATTATGTAAATGTGGTTTTGTATTATGTTTCAATTCTGGTCTTGTCCTTATCTTTATATACATTAGATCATACCCAGTAACACTCAGAGTAATTAACTGAATATTCGTTGTAAATTCTGATTAGGAATACTTCTGAGTAGAGTGCTTGCTCTTCTAATCATTCCATCTCTCATTTTCAGTTTTCATTTATTTTTAACATGGTTTATCGTTAATTTTAGATTTTGCTCAGAAAATGCCAGTATCATTTTACAAAATGAAATTAGTTCCTCCTAATTTGTTTGCAAACAGTAAGGTACCAAAAATGGACAGTGATGCTGTAAGAAAGAACATCTCCTCGTTAATCTGCAGTCACTTGAGTTTGCTCTACTTTTAGGAAGCAGAAGATGTCATTGATAAATCGGAAAAGCAAGAAAATTTAAACATAGATTTGAAACGACAGAAAAATCTTGAAGATAATCGTAAATTTCTAGAAAGCTTAAAATTACCATCGGTAAATATTTGTTGCGACACTTACTTAATGGAATTTATTAATTTTATTTTTCTGTTAATTACTTTTAATTATTGGTTTAGCTTCAAAAAGATTTAAAAAATTTAACAACATTTGTTCATGAAAAGAAATCACAAAAGAAGCTTTCTCGAAAATCCCATGGATCGTACGTATTTTTCGTATTTGTTTAGTTATGTTTTTGTTTTCATATTTTTGTTTGTAACTCAATTCTTGTCTTCCTTACTCCTTGTAGATTTTTTTGTTCAAAATTTCATTTTGAGAGTTGTATCTCTCTTGATTTGTTGACAAAGCATGTTGCATGTAATCAATCTTTTTGATGAACTTAATTTGATAAATGAAAAGTCTGCAATCGAGATGGTGTTGTATTTATTGTTCTTTTAGTGTTGAAACACAAACTCCGCGTCGTAGTTCTCGCATTAAATCACAACCAAAACCGGATTACGGTGGAAAAGATGAAGATAACAGTTATTCATCATCTAGTGGTAATGATGAATCTTATTCTTCCAGTTCACGGTCTTCAGGTAATGAAAAAAAAGATCGATATGATTCAAGTAAAGCAATGATGACTAATAATGACGAATTTAGTTGGATGCCATATGCTCATAAGAGAAAAAAACAATACCAGTTGCACACAGTCTTTGATGATAATGATAAAATGAATCAGAAACCTCGAGAAAAAGAAATTGTTGTGCGACCAAAAACAAGTGTAAAGATATTTACACCGAATATTGGTGCTAGAGCAGCACAAGTTGATAATAAAAATACAAAGAAATCAGCAAGAAATAATGGAAAAATACCCAAACAAAATTTTCTGGCCATATCATCGTCGTCAGATGATGAGTAGTGTACAGTTGTGTTGATTTTTCTTTTTATTATTACAGTACTCACCTTTATTTTTAATTTTTCTCCTCAACCATAATAGCTAGAACAAATATGAAAAAAGATTTGAACAACTGAAAGAGTTTATAATTAGGTGAGTTACATATGAGAATTCCATAAAAATTCCTGCAAACCAGGTCTGTGGAAAACCAAGATTTTATACAATCCCAAAAAATCAAGTCCCGCGATTCCAACGGAAACTTTTTGTAAATAGCCTATTCGTATAGAGCAAACATTTCTGAACAAAACTAGACGTCGCCGAACTCTCCACGACGTTTTTACATCGAACTACATTCAATTTACGAAAGGTCCCTCCACGTCGCAATTAGCAAAATCGCTAGAAAAAGAGTGAAAATGGCCGAGGAACCTTTCGTAAATTGAATGCAGTTCGATGTAAAAACGTCGTGGAGAGTTCGGCGACGTCTAGTATTGTTCACAAATGTTTGCTCTATACGAATGGGCTATTTACAAAAAGTTTCCGTTGGAATCGCGGGACTTGATTTTTTGAGATTTTATAAAATCTTGGTTTTTCACAGACCTGGTTTGCAGGAATTTTTATGGAATTTTCATATGTATCTCATCTTATTATAAAGTCTTTCAGTTGTTCAAATCTTTTTTCATATTTGTTCTAGCTATTATGGTTGAGGAGAAAAATTAAAAATAAAGGTGAACCTATAATTTTGGCCAGCACTGTAATATAACTCATATTGAGTGTGTAAAATAGCTTGTTTATTTACTGAATGTCTATTTTTTATTGTAATTTCTCTAATTAACATGTTCGACAGAAAAGAACATGTCTATTTTATCGTGCAAAAAATTTCAAATATAATTCAATTAAAAGATGTTCTCCTAAGCTCTTCTGCTTCCCATGTCGACGATTGAATTTAGTATGAAAAATTTGTCGTCTAAGTCAAAATAACTATATTGAAGACGTTTAGCCAAAAGGTACCATACAGTTTTTTAAATGAAGTAATTTTCGGATATAATCTTTGGAATTCGATTCATACATGGTTAAATGATGTCATAAATGTCATTTCGATCAAGTGCAATAAACGTGCAGATTAGATGGTAGTTGTCGCCAGGTACATTATTATTGATAATTTAATAGGTGTATCAAATATTTATTTAGTAAAAATCAAATCGATTTCGAATGTGTTAGTCAGTTAGTCAACTACTCGTCCTCATCCGCTTAACAATGCCAGTATTATCAAAATGTTGTGTTATATCGACTAATAGTGGCTAAAAATTAGATGTTCTGGAGGTCGTATCACGAAAAAACTTAAGTCGAAGTCTAGACTTAAGTCAGACTTGAGTGTATAAAATTAGCACGTAAGTGCACATAACGAAGGCTTAAGTCCAAATTTTGACTTAAGTTTTTTTGTGATACGTCCCCCTGACAATATTTCTTGTCGTTGGATAAATGTATTCAATCCAACTAAATTTCGATCAGTTAGCCAAATATGCGAGCGTATCGTGTAAAAAGTGCAATTTGAATCAATAATTATAAAGATAGTGAAGGAGCTGTTTTAGTTGATGGTCAATTATTTATTACAAACTGATGTTTTCTTTAATGATTTCAGTTCACAATCATCATTCTATAAATATCTAAATAAATGGTAATCATGTTCATCTTCTTCAGATCATGTATTTGTTGAAGATATTTTGACAACATCATTTACTATCCTTGATCTAGCTAGTCCATCAGGTTATTCGTTCAGGAGTAATACTAATTATTTAAAACAAATTTTCTTTTCTAAATAAAATGTATCACAAACAAACCAGTCACGGTTCACGTTAAGAACAGGAACATATAATCCATACAATATACGTAGCTGTAGTGGCAATATTTTCTGTTTTTTAAGAGCAGTGTGTGATGTAAAGTCATCAGCTATTGACAATTATCATCCTCTTATGCAAAAACACCCGAGAATATGCAGGTTTTCAAGACTCGGGTTAATGTTTTTCGAGATCAGAATCCTTCAAAATGTTGAGTACCAAAAGGGCGTCTTATTCAAATTAAGAATAAAAAAGGTGAAATTTTCCGATGTAATTTCTAATAGAATAATAGCCGCGAAAAATCATGATGTGGCGCCATCTGGAATTTTAGGCAACGCAAAAATACATTTTTCTGCGATCGTTCTAAGTGTTAAGAACGCGTCTGCTTTTGCTATTGTTTGGGTCATCAACCCTGTAAACAGGTGATTTTTTACATTATCTCACCTTGACGGTCCAGGCAAAATTATACAGTGCTAAAAAGATACATATTTCACCTGAAGTATATGAAAACTTTCAAAAAATTTTCTAAATGGGGTGTCAAAACGAAATCTAGTGCATCGTGTTCAGGAGAGTTGATTACCTATGAAGTCGTGTTTATCTCAAATGAATCACTAAGATTTTAGCAAAGAAAAGTTTTATACTTTTTAAAGTAAGAGAGTATACTTTTAGTTAAAGTATCCTTGTGGAACCCAATATTATTGTACAACGTCATTGAGTGACCAATATTATTAGACCCAATAGACTGGGTGACATTGACGGACCGCCAGCAGGCCGTCTGGAAAAAAATATCAAGGGCAATTGCCCTGTGAAGAATTATATTTCGAATTATATATTTTTATTTTTTTTATAGTTTGTGTATGCACTACTCTAAAAATTTATTGGCCCCCCTAAAAAATTTTCCCGGCCCGTCAATGGTGAGTGACCAGTATTATTGGTCCCAATATAGTGGGTATACAATAATATTGGGACCTAATATTATTGGATAGTCAATAATATTGTACAATATTTTCAATAACGATTGGTATTGATGCATGCCTAGTTCGATATGATAGTACCATGTTTTACTCAGACTTTGAGAACATGGTGCAGTTAGTTTGTGGAGTTTTTCTCAACCATCCAGCACTTTCACCAGGTCAAAATTTTCATCGGCAAAGTATTTCCTGAGAAAGACGACGCTTTCTTAACACTCAGAATGATCACAAATTTTTTTTCAACTTTCCGATAGTAAAAGTACGAAAAATTTATCTGTCCCTGTCCACGCACTGACTCACTGGAACTCTTTTAAAATGATTATCCCTCTCTAATACTCTTCCAAAAGGGCACTTATAAGACACAAACAACTGCGATGTCTTTACTAAGTAAGTTACTAATTTTGTCATGATAATCTATTTTGAAAAAGTCAAAAATAGCACGTATAAACTGCCTGAAAGCCAATAAATGGTTATTGTTATTCACCGTTTATTTTACAGTAAAGTATGTATATAAGAAACACGATTTCAACCAGAAATACATTTCTATTAGATTCCACTTCTAGATCATCTTTTATTTCAGAGTAAGACGGAGTTGTCAAGAGTCTTCTCTATGGCCCCTCAGAGCTATAAGCCGAGGAGCCCAGTGAGCAGCTGGTATATGGGCAATGTGTAAAGCGACTCCAACTCAACTCCATAGTTGAGTTACCCAGCTATGAACGCGAAATAACATCGAATTTGACGCAAATTACGCTTAATTTTGTTTCAAAGAAGTAAAAACGTTGATCGTTTATATTTCTAATTTTATAACAGTGTCGAGAATATCCCATGCATCAGATTTGTCTAGCGTAAGTACTAAACTGTTTTTAGTTTGTTTGATAGATACAACATGCCCATTTTTCAATAATAAAGCTTTGCGGAATACTTTGGAATCTTTTGGAGCAGATAATATTAATATATTACCAACAGAAGGTGGATTTAGTACATGAATATATTCAACCATGTCGTCAATGGATTTCGTGGCAACAATGCCACTAGAAATAGTGTTGAGCGATGCACCACTCGGTGTTATATAAGATGTGCTTGGATAAACATTTTTAATCGACGGACTAACAGATTCAATATAGTTGCCTAATCTTTGTAATCCTATCTTTATTCCATCTTCCCATAGTGTACTACTGCCTACATAACAGCCAACAGCCCAATTCATACCACCTCCATTTTGATTTGTACCCGCTTCCAATATTGTAAATCGAAACATATCTTCTGGTGAATATTTTAAATCACTCTTTCCTACTGCAGTTGTAACCCACCAATTTCCGTCTGTCGCTATAACGGTTGCTGTCTGGTTCTCAGTTGATGTCCATGTATTAAAATCTAGCGATGGATAATACTCTCGAGCCTCATAATCAGTCGCACCGCCTGCAACAGACGCGGGCGTATCACCTCCACCACCGTTACCGACAACCACACGATCAAGATTTCCAGCCAAAAGACTCTGGCGTAGTCTTTGTTTATCAATCATATCCTGAAAATAATCTTCGGTTGTCATATCTAACCAATAGCCATCAATCCCCTTTCCGTATCTGTTACCAATTTCCGTTACCATATCATTGACAAAATTATTCCATTTCGCATAGTTATCTGTCGGATCATTCCATCCTGTTGCCATTTGTTCTTCTTCTGTAAAATCATGACCATCTGTCACGTGAATATAGAGCATTAATCGAATATTGTACGGTTTTAACGCTACAATTAAATCTTGAATAACATCACGTGTTGTGGAAGAATGTCCCGGTCGCCATTGATTCATTTTTTCACTGGGATAAAGAACATTCATTGCATAATGCCAAACAGTTAGTGTTACATAATCAACATTAAATGAGTGGGCATCAGAAGCAAACTGAATGGCGTCAAAATTCTTTGCAAGGTCATCAAGATCTGTAGGTAGTGTACCATCAGGATAGATTGTTTGGTGGTAAGTTGAAGAACCGTAGGTATAATGACAAAACAAACCGTGGTGGCTTGTTAAATACCAACTATTGTTTGCAATATATTCAAAATCCTTAAAGTAGATACATACAAAGCAAAAGGTATTTATCTAACAGACAAGCCGTTAATGGGGATTTATTTAAATATTATTTATTGTTAGTACAATTAGATCATTGAATTTATCAGCTACATCGGATTTTAATTTTCAACTATTATTGGGTGTCAATGTAGTTTATAAATACCCGAAAATAAATGTTAAACGAACTATATTCGGCTACTTACCATTTGAGTAAAGATTGACGCTATAACTAAATTAATATTGAATTAAACTATGTACTCTCATGAGCTATTTCAGTATATGAGCCGAATTTTATACAAATCTACAATAAATGATAGTGAACTAATACTTTGATGGCTAATTAGTGTCAGATACTACTAAGCAACACTTTCATTGATGTGCTTTTAAACGCTAGTTAAAAGTACTCGACAGACTCTATAACAACACGTATTTATCGGCGACACAGGGATTTGATGAGATTGAATGCTACCTTCTGTATACAAATTTAAGTTTACATTGTCGATGGGAAATTATAACGTTTTTGACATCAATAGGAGTCTTTTCTTATCTCAGAAGACTGATACAATTAAGATTGAAATTGATTGTTTGAACGGATATATCACTCAAAAATGCTTAATTTTATGTCCTTGACTGTCTAAGGGCAGGCGAAGTAATGTTCTTCCACAGACGAAAAAAAAGATGCTGATAGAAATATAGAATGTGAGTGAATGAGATAGATAAGGATAGAACCAGAGGTTATACCCGAGCCCTCTCCTTTCTTAAATCTTTCTCTCACGGGAAATTTCAAACTCACGGGTAGATTCTGCACCTCTGGTTCTATTCTTATCTATCTCACTCACTCACATTCTATCCTTCTATAAGCATCTTTTTTTCCGTCTGTGGAAGAATATTACTTCGCCTGCCCTTAGACAGTCAAGAGCATAAAAGCATTTTTCAAAAATTTCCACAGCTTCCAAAACTTTTCCACATAGTCCCGTCCCGTAAATCATCGTTGGCACTGATAGCCGCACCTTTCGCAATGAACTTATGCGCCGTTCTGAACACTTTATGCAAAGAATATGAGAAATTAATTGATTCTGCTTGAGAGTTCTACAAAAAGTCGTTTCCTAAAGAATGAAATAATTTCAGAAATTGTATAAACTTAATACAGAAACACATGATTTCTTGCTGTTCGTACGATCACACAATAGGTCCTCAGGAGTTGTAGTGGAGTCTTGCGAGATCAACTATTTTGGCGTTTTTTTATAATCGATTTTCCATAAGTTTATAAATCGGCGTGGCCACATAACTTTGCTACCGTGGTGAAATTCCGTGACGAATTCATTTAATCTACCGCTTGTACCTCACTCATTTTTAGTTCAAACAAAATAACATTCTTATTATTAGATTCATAGAACTTTAGTCTACGCAGAAATGAAAGACTTCCACGCTACAAACTCACTCTTCCAAATTCATATAACTAACTTTTTTATTATATCAACTTGAAACCTAATACTTCACATGAATAAATAAAGCTGAAAACTACAGTGTTAAAAGATGAAAAGATTTTTATTGACCGGGATCGTTTAAAAAAAAAGGATAAATAAAAATAAGGATATTCTTGAAATAAAAATAAAATACACTAATGGTGCGGCGAGATTTGAAAAAAAAATGAAAATTTGAGAGATCGGTTATTTATCAACCTATTTTTTTGCTTTCCCTTGATTAGCTACATCGTCAATTGCTTTTTTGACAACGTCATCTGGAGCAACATAATAATGTTTTAATGGATTTAAATTTTCATCCAATTCATATACCAATGGAATACCTTAAAAATACAAGTAAGAAGAAAATGTTACTGTTATGTTCAACAATAATCGTTTTATCATGAGAAAAATTCTCTTTAATTATAGATACAAGACATTTTTAACAGTATTTTACCTGTTGGTAAATTTAATTCAACAATCTTATCATCAGGTACTTTGTCTAAATATTTGATTAATGCTCTCAAACTATTTCCATGGGCACATATTAAAACATGTTGACCAGTACGAATTGACGGTACAATTTGATCGTGCCAAAAAGGTAAAGCACGTTCAACCGTATCTTTTAAACATTCTGTCAGTGGTAACACACGTTTATCTAAATGCTAAAATATAAAACATACATTGAATTAATTCATCACGTATTGATTGGACTACATTCTAACCTTATATTTGATGTCATTTCTCGGATTATATTGACTAGATTCTTCAAGTTCTGGTGGTGGAACATCGTATGCACGACGCCAGATCTAAACAAAAATACCATAAACATTTATGTAAAAAATGAGAGAAAAACTTTGACTTACTTTGACTTGATCTTCACCATATTTCGCAGCAGTTTCCGCTTTATTTTTACCCTGTAATGCTCCATACATTCGTTCATTTAAACGCCAATGACGATGAACGGGAATCCAATGTAAATCTAATTCTTGTTGAATAAGATACAACGTTTTAATAGCACGTTTTAAAGTACTTGTGTAAGCAATATCAAATGTGTAACCAGCATCTTTTAACCACTAAAAAATAACAATAAAAAGTGTTGTAAAAAATGAGACTTATAAATTAGTAGAAAAGAGTATGAAAAAGACCGATGTTTATAGAAATTAGTAATTGCTTTATTCTCTTTTCAAATCGCACTAGTCTTCCGATGTTGTTTTAGTCTAAGTGGTAGACCTGCAAAAGTTCAACGTTCCTTTTTAGCGTTCTCTTTGAACGTAATGCTAAAGTACGTTCGCATTCTTTGAACGTGAACGCTAAACATGTCCCAAATGGGTAAGAATAACAAAGAAAACGTATGCAGTTACTGTAATGATTTTGACCAAAGAACTTCGGTTCCAGTGCCGGAAAAACTAATCCTCTGGTGAGGAAATCTGCGATCTATTCTTGGAAGAATCAATGTCTTGATCACAGAATCAAGGGGTATCCTTTTTACATTGTAATAATCTGGTCACTACCCTGCGCAGACCATCTGATTCTTCACTAGAACTTCTATTGATCAGATAAGATCAAGCAGAAATATATATGTTCTTACTATAGTACAAGAACAGAAGTTTATATTTATTTACTTCAGACGATATAAACATCGTTCGTATAAAAAAAGCTCACGTCCACCAGTGCTTTAACGTTCACGTTCAAGGAACGCGAACGTATTTAGCATTCACGTTCAAGGAACGAAACATGAACTTTTGCAGGCCTACTAAGTGGTAAAATTCTATTCAAAAATTTCAATAAAGTACAAGATGATTTTTTTGCCACCAACGATATACTACGTCTTACCTTTCCTGCTTGCTTTGCTTCATTGATACCTTTTTCGGATAAATCGGAATCGAACCATCCACAAAATAAATTTTCTTTATTCCATTCACTAGAAAACAGTGAAGATCATTTAGACATCAATTATTCCTGAAAATGTTAAGTAAATGAATATACCTTTCACCATGTCGAACTAGAAAGTAAAGAAATAATCGATAAGATAATTCATCAAGAAAAATAAATAACTTACCTAAAACTATTTTAAATCCCGAATGTTGAGCCATTTCGGACAAATGTGTCTGAGAGTAAGCAAATGAGTACAAAGAATCTAAAATGTTCAACAATCAAACAATATCAAAGGAAAATATAAATTGAGTCAAAAAAAGTAAACTATGCCTTTCTTCATTCAAATAACAACATTGTAGCAAAAGATAGTATGTTTTGACAAAAGAGAACTAAATAAACAACAGCAAAACAGAAAACAACGGAGTTGTTTTGAATTTGTCCTTCACATCCACCCACGTTAAAAATACCGATCTTTTATTTGTCTTGTCTGAACGGCTAAACTGTCGATAGTCGATGTTGATAATAAATGATCTGGATACTAGAAATGTAGTGTTGTTGGGAACGTCGAATTTATTTTTTATAATGCGCGACGATTGCACTCGACCAAATGAAATGAAAGTAACTTTTCCGTTGATAGATTGGATCATTGTTGCCATTAACTACTCAGATAAAACTTTCACGTGACAGTCTATATGATAGCTAACGACAACTACATTACATTCATCAAAAGGCGTTAGTTATTTAAAAGGGATTCAAACAAAGAACAAATCGATCTT